TATTTATTTTGGTTTTGCTTTATTATGCTTGTTCTAGTTCTATTTTTTTTGTTTTGTTTTTTTTTGTTTTTTTGTTTTGTTTTTTCCTCTCTATGTGTGTGTAAAGTACAGTAAATATCTACTTGGTTGTTAGAGCTCCCTGACTGTGGAAAACATTTTCTCAGAAAGAAGCGGGAAGTGGGTTTGAAATTTGGTATTTTAAGAAGGGTTTTGAGTATGTATAATGTTCTTGTTTTCTCATCTTCTCAAATGCACACACATGCCCCACATGTTCATTCTTAAAACATTGTCTTCCCCAGACCTTTCTCAGTTGAAGGGATTGATATCATACCTGTTATCACCTAGGTTGCTGTTCCCAGAATCACTGCCATCTTATTTAGGTTGAGCCTCTGCCTCTCAGCTTTCATTCAAGCCCTTGCTAATCACGGTTTGTGTGAAAAGGGAACCTTTGTCATCAGTCTATAGGTGATAAAGCATTTCAAGACATTTCACTAATTTCTCTTGTAATGACTAATCTTCTGCATCCACATAGATAACCTGTGTTCGTTGCAGCGTTGTCCAGCACCTGGTATGGTTTTGTTGGGAAACTTTCCTCTGTACATAGAGAGATGATATGATTTGGCTTTCATAGTTTGGAAATTTTTCTTAACAATCAGCCTTCAGTAAATCACTGCAATATTTCAGACTTCAAACACGAGCCAGTCCATCAGTATGAACTTGCCTGGCCATCTGGATTGTTGTCTGACCCTGGTTACTGTCACTGGACCTGCTCTGCTCTCCTCACCCAGGTAGGTACTGTGGGTTTAAGGGCCCTGAGAGCAGCCCCTCCTCCTGGAGGTTTGGCTGCCTGGGCTCAGGGCCAACTTAGATATAGCACAGATGAGGGCAGCTCCACCCCTCCCCCCCCCCCCCCCCCCCCCCCCCCCCTGCCCGCGCGCGGCGGCATTGGAACAGGCTGCCCAGGGAAGTGGTTGAGTCTCCATCCCTGGAAGTATTTGAAAGATGGGTAGACGTGGTGCTCGAGGACATGGTATAGTGGTGGACTTGGCAGTGATAGGTTAACGGTTGGACTCGATGATCTTAAGGGTCTTTTCCAACCTTAACGATTCTATGATTCTATGTTTCTACTGTGGTGAGAAAGGCCATTGTGTTGCCACTTGTCCCAACAAATCCTCTACCCTAACCGCTGTGAAGGGAGTGTGGTCAGGGGCATCTGCACAAGGTGAGGAGTACTGTGAGTCCAGGATCATCACCCTCCCAGGTGGGCACACCATCTAAACTACTGTTCTGGTAGACTCGGGACCTCCCATTGGTTTATGGCCTCTGAGTCTGAAAAGAGTGCCCAGCCCTGACCCACCCCAAGCACAGTCATTGCTATAAGATGGGAGGAGAACCCGAGATTGGTGGGGGGGGGCATCACTCATGAGACTTTTCCCCTTTGGGTAACCATGGCACCTGGACACTGAGATTTTTGCCCTTCCTCATCCTGCACACACCCCTCTTTCTAGTCATCCTCAGGCTGCCCTGGTTATGGAAGCAGAACCTATTGTTAACTGACAATTGGTCTTCTTGGGCTTTCCTGTGGAAAGGGGATATTCAGAGCCTGAGGACAAGATCTGGCCCTGGGATCCTCTTGGGGCTGTCTCCCCCACCACAGCACCCTCTGTGACTTGACCCAGAGACTCCCATGTTCCTGGCTCTACATCATGTGAGCAGTTGTCCAGGTTGAACATACCTCTGCCTCAGTCACTGGATCCCTCGCTCCCAACAATGTTCCTAGATGAGTACAGTGACTTTGCAGATGTCTTTGAGAAGAAGGGGGTGGAAACGCTACTGCCCTATTGCCCGTATGACTGTCCCATTGACCTGATCCTAGGAAAGGAGGAGCCTTTCAGATGCATCTATGCCTGGAATTAGCAGCTCTTGACGACAATCTGGCACGCGGGTTCATCTGTCCCTTCCATCTCCCCCACCGGGGCCCCCATATTTTTCAGCAAAAAGAATGATGGAGGTTTCTGCCCCTGCATAGAATACAGGAGGTTGAATGATACAATGGTTAAAAACCGTCACCCTCTTCCTCTCATCCTGAAGCTCTTGGTACGTCTGCAGGAGGCTCGTTGGTTCACAAAGCTGGACCTGAGAGGGTCCTACAACTTCCTCGAAATCCAGCAGGGGGACAAGTGGAAAACTGCTTTCCACACCAGGTACAGCCACTACGAGTATCTTGTGATGCCATTTGGTGGCTGCAATGTTCCAACCACCTTCCAACATTTTATAAATGATGTCCTGAGGGACTTGCTTGATAATTCTGTCGTGGCATACCTGGATGACATCTTGACTTTTTCAACCACTCAAGAGGCTCACGTAGACTACATGCAGGAAGTCTCAAGTGACTTGTGACAGAAGCATCTCTATGCCAAACTCAAGAAATGCTCCTTTAAGAAATTGAAACGGGCATTCACTACAGCTGCATTCTTAGATGTGGATGCCTTAGACGGAGCCGTAGGGGTCATCCTCTCTCAGAAGGTCAGCCCTAAGTGGGAGCTCCACCCCTGTGCCTTTTTCTCTCAGCAGCTCGATCCCACTGACTCGAATTACATCTGGGACAAGTTGCTCCTGGCAATCAACGCTGCCTTTCACCTCCTCAAGGGGGCAAAAGACCCAACAGTGTTGCTGACCGACCACCATAGCCTGGAATACTACTGAGGGATGACGTGTCTCTCTCCCAGCCTTGCCTTCTAGGCCTCTTTCTTTTTGCACTTCCACTTCATTTTCACCTAGTGTCCAGGGCAGCAGAATGGCAAGGCCAATGCCTTGCCATGGAAGGGGGACTCAGACGCTTCGTCACCATCACAGCAGAGGATGAGCTCACTGCAGTGGTTAGAGAAACCACTGCAAATGGCGCACTTCTAGCAAAGCATCGCGCTGGCACAGCCTAACTTAGCCTGCAAAAACAGGACAGCTGCCTGTATCGGGGGAAGAAGCTGTACATCCTGCAGAGACTGCACAAAGCACAGGTCCTCCATCAATGCTACCATGTACCTGCAGCCAGATGCGTGGGCTGATGGAAGATACAACGCCTGATTACCTGGACCTACTGGTGGCCCACAGTACAGGCCACAGTCCCCCCCGCAGGGCAACACAGCCATCCTAGTGAACACCTGTATTCATACCAAAAGGCCTCTGCAAAGACCACAGGGTTTCTTGCAGACCCTCACTCCTGATCAGCCTTGGCAGTTGGTGTCCATGGACTTCATAGTAGACCTTGCCCCCCCCACAGCTGTCCTAGCGACCATGGACCTCTTCACTAAGATGGCTCACTTTGTCTCCCTCAGGAAATTGCCCACAGACTGCCCAACTTCCTACAGCACATTTTCTGATGCCATAGCCTTTCCCAGACAGCATCATTACCGACTTGGGGAAGGGGGCGTGGGGGGCAGCAGTTTACAGCCAGATTTTGGAAGGAGCTTGTGGGGCTCTTCCCCATACAAACTTGCCTCTCGCCCTCTCACCACCCCCAGACCAATGAGCAGACAGAGAGAGCGAATCAGATCCTGGAACAATATCTCTGGCATATTTTCTCCAAGATGACTGGCTCACCATCCTTCCATTGGCAGAGTTTGCTTACAACAGTAACATCCTTGAATCTGCAGAGCAGACCCCATTCTTTGCTAACTTTGATTTCCACCCCCAGAGTCATCCAACCACAGCCAAAAGTGCCTACAAGAGGCAAGCAGGCAGATGGTGTTGCCTGGCCACAGCCTTCTCCATTGGTCACTGGGTTTGGCTTTCCAGCAAGCACATCCAGACTGCCTGACCATCTGCCAAGCTGGACCATCGTTATTTGGGGCCTTTCACTGTGGCTGACCAAATCAACCCGGTTACCTACTGCCTGGAGCTCCCATGATCCTGGAAGATTCACCCAGTTGTTCATGTCTCCCTCCTGAAGCCTCATCACACAGACCCTTTCCGCTGCCAGCCCGTGATAGAACCTGTTGTTATCGCCACTCCTGCTGTGCTCACCCTCCTCATATACTGTGGGGATGTATCCTGGTTGGTTAGGTCATTTCCCCTGCCTTTTCTGTAATTGCCCTTTGTTTTTAACTCTGTTTTTCCCTCATAGAGCAGTTCTGCTCTTGCTTCTCCTCGTCAATAATAGTGTGAGAAGTTACAGGCAGTGCCGTGAGGGATGGCTGGATTTCATATGGGGTTAAGGAGGAGACACCTAAGGGGAGCATCGGGGGCCTTTTGGGGAGTGGAATCTTGCAAGGCCAGCAGTGCTTGGGTAACTGTATCAGTAATAACAATATGGCCATGAATGCCTCGGAACTGGTATCAGAAATACCAAATTTGGGTACAGATGTAGTAAAAGTGGGGCCAACGGGGAAAACATGATTAGGGGTGATTGTTTATACGGGAGGAGAGGGGCATTAAGTGGGGGAATCCGCATGGCCATCTCTTGGAAAAATGGCTTGGATACCAACAGCTGATAAGAGAGGAATGTGAGTGCAAATAGTGCGCATGAATATAATACCCAAAACTGTTTGAGAGAGTGTTTGCCCAAAAGCTGATGAGGCTGAAGAGGAAGTTTGCTTAAGATGGCCATGAGCCAAATTAAGCAGTAACCAGTGAATTAGCAAGAGACTTTTGAAAAAAAGGTGTCAGCTCGAAAAGAAGTATAAAAGCAGCATGAAAATTTGTAACAGTGGGGGGAAAGAATTGGGAACAATGCAGGAATCAACATCTGGTTTGACACTGCCAAAAGTCACCCTGCAGACATCATGACCTCTGCCTAGGCCCGACAGAGCAGCCTCCCTGTGGGACGCTATGAGTAGCCTGCATTCTAGCTAGTGCACTGATGGTACAGAGTGCACGCAGCAGGTGGGGACCCACACCTTCGGTGTGTTTATGTGACCTCATGGGGTGCTCTCTCACCAGGAATGTAGGGAGCAGCATGGCTTCACATAAAGCTGGATCACCCACATTTCCCACAGGAAGTGTGTGCAAGTAGGGGTACCCGCACTCCCAGGAGAGGGTGTGCATATAACCGTGTGAGTGGGGGAGGGGAGATTAGAACTTCTTGGGGTTAGTTATAGAAGGCTGTTTAAAATTTTGTAAGTGTTGATTAATATTTTGTAAGTGTGTAGTATTGTGCTTTATCTGTTGAATTCCTGATATTGATCCTGAATGCGTAGCTCACTGATTGCTGGCTAATTATGTCATTAATAAATCAATAAACCATTTGGATCCTGATTTGATTTAAACTACATGGGTTCACCAGATTTTTTCCTGCAACAGAAGTATGAGGGCAGCAAAAAGGAGGGTGAAGACATGGGAAAAGGAGTAATTTATGCAAATCATGGGATCAGGGCTGTCTGGAGGCACCTTCCAGACAGCCCTGCGCTAGATCACTTCAGCTTAAATCAAGACATTAAACAAAGCCTGTTGTTCTGGCCATGCCATGCAAATCAAACCTTCTTCTGTGGTCAGGAGGATGGGAGGGAAGGGGGGCTGCTTTCCCTAACTAGCAGGAGAACACTGTGACAGGATGGGTCAAGCATCCTGGTATCGCCATATCAGTGCCCGTTCTAGTCATGATGGCATTTTGCTAATCAGCGCCTAACATCTGACATAGTCGGCAGGATCCTGATCTGAAGTCAGCAGACTAAATGAGTATGTCTGGGAAGGAGGGTTTGGTTACAGAGGGAAAAGGCCCTCTGGGGGAAGCAGATGGGTGCTTGGAATGGGTAGGGAAATTGATGGAAAGGTATGTGTGGGAGGGTGGGGGGGGGGGGGGGGGGGGGGGCAGCATGGACAGATCCTGAGCCATGATCCTCCTGGATGAAATGGAGAAATTGGATGGGAAACATAGTCACTAACTACTCTAAGAACAAGAAATTATGTAAGGCCACCCCAGGATTTCTGCATCACTGCAGCCCCCCCAGTCCCACAGCCTGCAGCTCTGACTCCCTGGATTCCTGATAGGACCTGTTGCTGTCACCACACTGCCTCTAGTGCTGTGGGACTGTGCCATGTTGGTGAGGTCATTGCTTGGCCTGTGCTGTGGCTGCCCTCAGCTTCTGGCTCGCCTTCCTTGAGGGGGCAGCCCTGCTCTTGCTGCTCCCTGACAGGTGTTTCAGTACCTAAGACAGTCTCTTAAAGGTTAAAAAGTGACCCCACTTGATGAGTAGGTAGTCTAAATGATCGTTTTAAAGTAAGCAGGGCTTTAGCAATGATAAAGAATGCCCATTCATGTTATCATGCCATTACACGCTAGCTTACGTACATGACCAGTTCTGCTCCCTCTCATTTGTTAACTGAGAGAGGCTATGAAATTCTCAGGGAACAGTAAGAGTGACTGCTTTGTGAGGGAGGGCAAGCTGGGAGACAAGGGTGACAGCAAGGCAGGCCAGGGCAGTGACCTCACTTACAAGGTGTGCAGCCCCACTCTCAGGGTGCAGTGAGGGCTGGCTGCTCCCTAAGGGAAGAGGAGCCTGGAGCTGTGCATGATAACAAGGCCAGCAGAAGCAGTGACCTTGCCAGCAAGGGCCCAGTCCCACAGTACCTGAGTGAGGCAAGCAGGGCAGGCCCGGGGATGGTAGCCGGATTCAACCAAGAGTCCCAATTGCCAGGCAAGTCTGTGGTGATGAGGCAGGTCTGAGGCCAGGCTGGGAAGTCTGTCCCCAGGTCAGGGTCTGCATCAGTGGGGTCTATGGCCAAGTACAGGCATGGCTGTGGTGTAGTTGTAGCTCAGGTGGGGGACAGCTAGAGCCTCAGCTTAAAAGCAGTTTTCAAGGGAAGTGAGGGTGGGTCTGGCTGAGGCCTCCCAGCAGAGCTACCTGGGAGTGCTCTCCCCAAAGTCACCAGAGGGAAAGGGGGGGGGGGGGGGGGGGGGGGGGGGGGCGCCTCTCTCTGGTTCG